TTGAAAAAAAACTAAATCAATTGAATAAAAATTCTTAAAAATTGCTTAAAAAAATTTTATTAAAACAAAAAATTCAGTTGGAACTTTTTTAAGAACGTGTTTTTCACGGTTTCAAACCGAAACCGCCGGTTTCAATTTTAAAAAAATGAAGAACTTGAATTGAACCTTAAATTCATGATTTCGATTATGGTTTTAAAACCAGAACCGTTGACCACAGTTTAGTGTTGATTTTGACCGATTGAATTTCAGTTCAGTTCTAGTTTGAAATTGAAACGTGATTATCCCTAGTTCAACATAGTTCAGAAAATCCGTAGAGTTTAGAGTTCCAGTATTTGGGTAAGTTGGATTATATTTTTATACTTTTAGGTTAGATAGTGACAAAAATTTGAGCCCAACAACAAAAGAGGCCGAGCTTGAAACATTAAGCAACCTAATTCTTGAACTCAGTCCAAAATATATAATTCAATATTATTTAACTTTTCTAATTATATTACTACAAATTTAAGCACCTTATATATTTTAAATTGTTAATAAGATACATAAAAATAAAAATATATATTTGAAACTTTAGTTTAAAAAAAAAAAAAATATCACTTTGGCCTAAACTATTAAAATAATATCATGATTTACTAATTTGGTCTTTTACTTAATGAGATTTTTATCTTCTATTTGAATGCTACCGTTTGTCACCTTGAAACTAACGCTTCTTCTGTTTTTCCTTCTTTTTGTTTCAAGGGTAGACGTGAACTCTCCCTTCAGCAGTAAGACAGGTGTGAGAGATGTCGTCGCAGGCACGACTGGTGTGCGAGTCCTCATTGGAAAATTGATTCATGTTCTATTATTTTTTATTTCATTTTCGTTTTTGTTCTTCATTGGAAAATCGATTTCTATTCAACGATTTCATTTTCATTTTTGTTTACTTCTTTTTATTCTTCTTCTTTCTGTTTTTATTCTTTTTGTTTAGATTCCATTCTTTTTGACTATTTTAAAGTTGATATTCCGTTTTTTATTCTGTTTTTCTTGTCTTCTTCCTATTTGCTGCGATTCCAGGTTTTGTTAGTAAGTTATTTTGTTGATTATTACATGAATTTTGTCTGCATTTTGAATTGAAATATATATATATATATATATATCGTATTTACCATTGAATAGAAAAATCTAATTTTTCGACCTTTTTCTTTCAATTATGAAAACGAAACTATAGTTTTATTTTGTATACATACCTAGTTTTTCTGTTTTTTTTGTTTTTTTTTTAATTTTTCGTTTATTTCCTTTTATACATATTTCATTTCTAGTTTTTTTTTGACTTGACGCCGTTTGTGTGTATGGGGGTGTGACGTGGATTCATTAAGATTAGGTTGAATATTATTAATTTATTTTTGACAAAAAATGATATATATATATTTTTTTTATTTCTAATCTTTTCTTACATTTTGTTTATTTTGAAACTTCATCTCTAAAATTTATTAAGATGCCCTTTAAAAATAAACTAGTAAAATACACTCATAGTTTTAATTGCTGAGATGAGTTTGTAACATGTGTAAATGAAATAATACTTACATGCATATATATATAATATATAGTCATTGGTCCATGCTTCACGTGTGGCTATTTACATATATGTAAAAAAAATAAATTAACAAATATCTATCAATTTTAAGAGAAGAAAAAACAATATCCAAATTCAATAAAAAATGAAGGAAAGAAAAGAACATCTAAATCCAATAAAAAAAAAAAAAAAGAATGAAAATGTAATAAAGAGGAACATGACGTTTTTTTTATCATGGCAGTCATTTATGATAAATTCTACATAAAATGTCTTAGTAATTTCTTTCTTAATATAAATCAGCAATGAGTTAGAAAATTGTCTTCCATTTTACTGCGAAATCTTATTTTCATTAATTCATAGTTAAAAAAAAAAAAATGATCTCTCCATTATTGCTATTGAAATCGAAAAAGTAAGCACAAGAGTTATCAATCTAAATATAAGTTATCACTAACCACCAGCATAACTCAGATGTAGTTGATAATTTCTGAAAATCCAGATGTTGATGAATATGTGAATAATGTTGAAGTTGAATATCTGGCTGTGATATCTCATATCTGGCAAATTTGACTTTGATAGAAAAAAAAAAAAAAATTTAATAAAAGCTATACAAAAGCAAATGTTACTACGTAAAAGAATGAATTTTATACATAATACATTGTTCCAAAGATATTCATTAAATGAATATTATATGAAGATGAAGATTGAAAGTTACATAATCCTTATACTACCTCTGTTCCATAATACTTGTTACATTTGTAATTTCACGTCCCTTAAGAAAATTATTAAATTTGTCTAAGTTATATTAAATTATTGAGTAAATTGACTATATTATCCTTAATTTAATATTAATATAATATTAATCTCTAAAGGAAAATAAATTAAATTGAAAAAAAACTAGATAATATTGACCATATACAAAAGGGTAACCATGGAAAAAAAATTTATTACTTCTTTGAAAAACTACAAAGTGGGAACAAATTATCCCGAACAAACCTATTTGGTCAAATGTACAAGTATATTTTTTTTTTTTTAAAAAAAAAAAAAAAATTATTTCTGGCGTTTACAGTACTACCAATTTAGCAGTCAACTTCTTGCAAAATTTCTAATATTATACCATATATATAGTTTTGGATTTGTTTCGAATTTTTGATTTATTTCAAAAATATCAACTTGTACATATCATACTTATAGCTTTATATTGATTTAATTCAAATTTTTGGGAATTTTAAAAAATTTGATTGACATTATACTCAACTTGTCTAAATTTTGAATTTTCAACCTCCTGAATAAGTATTACATAAAATATTAAGGGGGTTGAATCAATCATATCGATTTCAGATTAACACCTATTTGATTGTTGCACGCAAAAAAGATTTTTCAACTGTTTGACTTGTTTTTAATCTTTTTTGGAAAGAATGACTTCACTATTTTAAAATTCAAACACGCTAGTAAATATTATTTTCCAACCGATAGAAAATTGAATGGACCGCTAAAATATTATGGATTATAAAGCAGTAGATGGTCATCCATTTTAAATAAATATTTACTGAATTAATGATAACTATTAGGGTAGAAATGACTCACTTCTCAATATTTCTATAATTAAAACAAAATCTTCCATTTTCCATATTATCTATAATAATATATAAAAACGTGGGAATAAAGAGGGAAATAATGAAAATTTTAAAATACCCTTTACGAAAATATGAGATACCCTCATATATTCTTAGTCTTGGTCAATTAAAAAATTTTAATTTTAAAAATAATATTATTTTTATTGTAATATTTGATTATAATTTGAAAGATTTTAAAAAGAAAATATTAAAGAATTTAAATTTAAAAATATATGATATTTGATTGTAATTTAAAATATTTTAATTTAAAAGGTCAATTAAAAATTTAATTTTCAAAAGCTATAATATTTTATTATAATTTAAACATTTTAATTAAAAGAAAGATATGAAAAAGAAAATATTAAAAAATTAAATGTAAAATAAAATATATAATATTTGATTTTTTTGGTTGATTGTTGCCATAGTTAATTTCTAGATATTTTGATTGAATTTGCAGGATTTTTATATTCAATTTCTATATGTAGTTTTCAGATTTCTATATTTAATTCCTAGATTTTTTATTGAATATCTAGATTTTGTTTTTAATTTCTAGATTTAATCTCTTTATTTATATATTTAATTTCTATATCTGTCTTTTATAATGGCATAATAATTATTTTCTCTATTATATTTATAGTTATCACGACTTTTCTCCAATTTAAAGTCAACCATCTATGTCATGCAAATAAATCAAATAAATAATACTATTATATAATGTAAAAAGATCTTATTTTTATATTTTAAAATTATATTCAATAAAAATGGCTGCTTGACCAGAAAAAATTTTCTGGTCAATCTATCCATTATTTATTTATGACCTTTAATTTTTTGTATAATGAACCTAAAAAGCTTTGTTTGGGAAAATATTTACCTAAACTTAATATATGGCTAATGATTTGAAAAAATTGTTGCAATTTTCATTCCAATTTAATAGCGACATTTTATTTTTTTATCAGAATTAAGAAAATTATTGCGCTTCTTAAAATATAATGCTTTTATTGCGCTTTTTAAAATTAAAAACTCTCCATTTAATTTTACTATAAAACGAACAATAATTTTATTTCATATTAAAGCACTACGGTTACAATATATACGTACTTGCATTTTAATTTAACTACAATTAACGTAATTGTATATAAAAAATAAATGTAAATATAAAAATAAATTACACCTATTAAATATGTATAAAATTAGAAAAACATTTATTAAGTACTCTCAAAATTCTAAATAACCACTTAAAATGATACAAAGTAAAATGTCGCCTTGTTTTGTTGCTATTAAAATGGAACTGAGAGAATATTCACAAAAAGAAAATGGAATTGAGAGAATACTATTTTTTTTTCGACCAAAAAAATATTACAATATCCTAGTTTGCACTAAGTAAATTTATGGGATTGACTTATTGTATTGGTGATACCAAAAATAGATAATAAAACTAAGAGTAATTTGATCAAATTATCTGTTATCTTAAAATCAAGAGTAATTTGTGAAGATATTTATTGTATCCAATATAAATAAAGGTAATATTGGAAACCGTTATTTATTACTCTTCAAATACTCAAAACCATTTATATTTTGATATAAAATAATAATTCAAAAACACTTATATTTGGAATGGACGGAGTAATTTTTAACATATCCAGATAAAACTTAACGTCTAAACCTAACTAAACTCAAGTCATTAGACTTATCTCAAAAAAACCCCAACCTAGCCTATAAATGCTTTTCCCTCTATAAATACAGCAGCCAAGATATCAAATTAATATCAACCTAAAGAAATGAAGGCCACAATGCAAGCAACCTAGCCTATAAATGCTTTTCCCTCTATAAATACAGCAGCCAAGATATCAAATTAATATCAACCTAAAGAAATGAAGGCCACAATGCAAGCAACAAAACCATTACTACTTCAACTTGTTTTGCTTGTCATTGTTTCATCAGGTACTTCAAATCAAGTTATCGACAAATTTCTCCAATGTCTTCCTCATCAAATTTACTGCTCCAAACCCATAAATAAAGCCATTTATACCCCAGACAATCCTTCTTTTGAATCTGTTTTACAAGCCTACATTAAAAACCTAAGGTTTTTAAACAATACCACCCCAAAACCACTTGCTATCATCACCGCCTTGCATGAAGCCCATATCCAATCAACTATTATCTGCGCTAAGTCCAACGGCTTGCAACTCCGGATCAGGAGCGGCGGCCATGATTTCGAGGGTCTTTCTTACAGATCTGACGTCCCGTTTGTAGTTCTTGACTTGTTCAATCTCCGAGACATAGACATAGATATGGCTACAGAGACTGCATGGGTTCAAGCCGGGGCAACAACTGGTGAACTTTACTATAACATCGCCAAGAAAAGCAAAGTCCACGCCTTTCCGGCAGGAGTTTGCATTGCACTTGGTTTAGGCGGTCATTTTAGCGGAGGAGGGTATGGAAATATGATGAGAAAGTACGGTCTTTCTGTCGATAATATTATCGATGCGAAAATAGTTGATGTCAATGGAAAAATTCTTGATAGAAAATCAATGGGAGAAGATTTGTTTTGGGCAATTAGAGGAGGTGGGGGAGGTAGTTTTGGAGTTATCCTTTCTTGGAAGATCAAATTAGTTAAAGTTCCTGAAAAAGTAACAGTATTTAGAGTAGATAGAACATTAGAACAAGGCGCAACGGATCTGGTATATAAATGGCAACAAGTTGCCACTAAATTAGTGAAAGAATTGTTCATAAGAGTTCAACCTCAAATTCAAAATCCAACCAATGAGACGGAGAAGACAATTAGAGTAGGTTTCATTGGTCTTTTCTTAGGAAAAAGAGACGAGCTTCTTTCCTTAATGAAGAAGAACTTCCCTCAACTCGGTTTAAAGCGAGAAAATTGCACAGAAACGAGTTGGGTCGAATCTACATTGTTTTGGGAAAATTTGCCAATAGGAACACCTACTGAAGTTTTGCTAAACAGAACAGGACCAGGTGGAATATTTTTCAAAAGTAAGTCTGATTATGTTAAAGACATAATTTCAAAGCAAGATTTAGAGAACATATGGAAGCTTTTCTTGAAAACAGAAGGAATGGTTATGCAATGGAACCCTTATGGTGGAAGAATGAGAGAGATTTCGGATAGCGCAACTCCTTTTCCTCATAGAGCTGGTATTTTATTCAAAATACAGTATTTTACACTTTGGTTCCAAGAAGGGATAGAGGAAACTGATCGTCATATAAGTTTGGCAAGAAAAATGTATGACTCAATGGCTCCATACGTGAGCAAGAACCCCAGAGAAGCATTCCTTAACTATAGAGATCTTGATGTTGGTAGTAACCCTAGTGATAGGACCAACTTTGGGAAAGCTAAGGTTTATGGAAGCAAGTACTTTAAGGATAATTTTATCAAGTTAACAGAGGTGAAGAAGAAGGTTGATCCTAAAAATTTCTTCAAGAACGAGCAAAGTATTCCACCCCAATGGGCTTATTGAGTAAAAACATGAAAAGTATTGTAAAAGTTCATTGCTAGTCTCTTTTCATTAATTTACTTATATGTCTTAATTTATTGGTGAATTGAAAAACCTTTTCCCTTGTTAGAATTTTTATGGCGGCTTTGTATTTTATCTTTGACTATATAATGAAGCTTGTGCTGGATTTATACCTTTTGTTATTGCATCATCGCTGATGCAATCAATCCCCTTCCTGTTTGTCGTCTTTCTTTCTTTCTTTTGGTGCTCTATTTGTGGTCATTATTGTTGACGCAGAGATTTTTTTTTTTTTTAATTCAATTTTGATTTCCCAGTGAAGGAGGAGAAGAGTCGAGCATGATTTTGCGTATGGTGATTTTTTCCTTTGCTTTGTGATTTTTAAGATGAAAATTGATTTGAATTTTGAATTATGATAGAAGATTTAGAATTTTGAGTGAGTTGATTGGCCAAATACATAAATTTGTTCAAAACTTTCAAAAAATAATCTCACAGCACCCCAACTTTGCGACGACCAATTTTACACCTTAAGTCTATTTTTTTTACATTAGTCTTGCACCTCTCCATGCTCGTAGATGCATGTGAATAACTCTAGCGCTAATTAGGATAACTTAATGAAAAATAAAATGACACGTATTAATACAGTTTTGACACATCTTTTAACTTTTGTCTAATACCAAAGTCTTTCCTCTTCTCTTTGTTTATTTCTATTCAAACTATCCAAATAATACTAGTTTTTTTAAGTCATTTTGTAAATAAAACAACTAATTTATCCTTGTTTCTTGTTTCCTATTGATGATATGCAAAATGATAGAATGAGAAGTAATTATTTACAAATTGCTAGAATTAAGATTAATTTCGATTATATTAAATATCAAATGAATTTATGAAATTATTCATTTATTACAAACATCGTTTCATTTTCTTTATTTTTTTATGTTAAAGCAAATATATCAATATATTAATTATTATGGCTGTATGAAAATGAGAAAGAAAAAAGGAGTTTAAGTCTCTATAGTTTGTTGGTCTTTTACGAATGGCAAAATGATAGATGACGAGGGCTCTTTATAATCTATTTGTTTATAGGAGGTTAGTTAATTTTTTTAGTTTTTATTTTAGATTATGTAATTTTGTTTTGTAATTATGTAAAAGCAAATTAGGATAATCTTGGTAAGCACTTTTCACCTTCTAAAATACACCTCGTTCTCCCCACTTTTTACTTTCTTATGATTTTAGCTGTTTTGAATTTGTATTTAACCGTGATGGCAACATGAATATGTTAATATGGATTGGGATATGACTCCAACTGATTACATGCACATGGTCAAATATTCTAAAGATGAAAGTTTTGAAACGGGACAACTTACTATATTTATGGAATTCTTGCATTAAATCCATTTGCAGGAGTATTGAATTTCAGATGTGCAAACTCTAAATTTTTCAAATTTATAATTATTTTCAGATGTGCAAACTCTAAATTTTTCAAATTTATAATTATTTCACAAAAAACATAAAAAAAAAACAGTTTATATATTCAAGATAGGGTGGAAGATATTATGTGATTTAAGTGATAGGAAAGAGTAGAGAAAAGGAAATTATGGGATTGAAGAGATCTGAAAGAAAAAACAGGATCTATGAAATTTAAAAATCTCAAAACTATAGCTTTTGGGTTCAATTTCGAATGGAGAGAGAGAAGTATCTTTCATGTGCTTTTTTTGTGAAGAGAGAACCTCAATTTGTGAAGAAGAATAAGAAAAAAGAGATGGAGTAGATAGAAGAAACGAGAATTAGAAAAAGAAGCAGACAAAGAAATTAGAAAAAGAAGCAGACAAAGAAAGGGCAAAAATATCCAAATATCCCACTGATATCGTTTTAGCCCTTTTAGGTAAATATCAAGCTAGCACGCTCTCTAGGACGTTTGAAGACACGCTCTGCCTTTCCAGCGTGACAAAGTGCATCATAATTATAAAAAATAAAACTTGAAGTGCAGGATGGGTTAATCGTACGATTAAAATATAAGGCGCCATAAGGATGAAATAAAAAAGTTTAAGGGTAAATATACGTATTTGGCCGAGTTGATTTCTTATCTCCACTTTTCATTATTAATAAACCCTTTTGATTGGGACTCTTTATGACGTGCGTTACACTTTGACTATACTCGTTATTCGTACTTGTTCAATTTTTTATGTTATCGCTCACTTTTACTTGTTATTTATACTTGTTTTTATTTTTTAATATTAAATATTCATTATATTTTTTGTCTTACATTATTTAGATTTTTTCCAAATAATTTTCAGATCTGTATATAAATCTTAGTTATTGTCGCCCAATTTGGGATTTGTTATCGCCCATATATCGGGATTTTGTTCTCAGATTAAATTCTAAGTTATCGTTGTCACCATTATGATGATTATGTTTAGCGTTTTTTGTTATTTGGATAGTTATGCTTTGTTATTTGGATAGTTATGCATGAAGGTAATAAGATCGGACAGATAGAAAGACCATGAAATCGAACAGTGACCATGAATAGCCATCAAGTGGAGCAAGCGATCGCCGATGACACAAATATTATGCTCTATCAACTCGATCAAATAATTCAAATCAAGATTGTGTTTTTTTATTTTTTCTATAAGTGGTTTATTATTAGACTTCCTATACAAAAATATAGAAACATATTGATCTATATCCCATATCTCCATATCTGCATACAGTTTCCTATTAATGAAATTTCTAGTTTGATTTTTTCTCCAAAAAAAATTAGTTTATTTATTTTTATAAATCCAGGAAAAACTTAACATTTTCAGTATTTAGACCCAAGCCAGTAGGCTCACCCCCAAATAATCCAATCTAACCGAAAATGTTATGTAAAATGTGGTACCAAAACAATACAAAGTTCATAAACGCTAACTATTACTTCTCGTGAGATAAGAGAATAAATAGTTGAAATAAAATCGAACATAAACTCTTTATAATCAAGCCAAAAAATCACTTTGCGCACAAACTCCTTTTTTAGCCAATAATCTGCAAAATTATTCTTCCTTCTTTTAACTTGATAAAAAGCAATATGTACTAGAGATGAGATCAAACAATACTTAATTAAATAAAAGCATATAAGCGACTTGTCGTGTCTACGGAGATTTTGGTCATGTCCATTTTAATAAAAGCATAAAAAACATACTTGATTAAAAGTGAGAATTTTCTATTTAGAATTTGACTAAACTTTCTAATAGAATTTAGATTCAAATAGGAAATTAATACATGCAATCAAAATTAAGCCACTTTTATTTTTCAACCAATAAAATTAAAATCCTAAGAATTTCCTATTTAGAAATAAATTAAACTTCTTAATAGAATTTATATTTAAATAGGAAATTAATATTACCAATTAAAATTAAACTATCTAAATTTTTCAACCAATAAATTTAAAGTTTTCAATGACATTTTTGTTGATCCATAAACTTAATAGGGGTGTTTTAGAAAACTAAAGTTCCTTATTCGTACTTTTAAACATACTAGTGTTTTTTATGATATATATTGCATGTTGATTATGCTCGTTATATATTCATTTTTAACACTTTTTTAATCGTTTAATTTATCTATATATGAAATACCCCGAAATTTTATTTTCAAAACTTTGGAATTTTTATTAAATCAAAAACCCGAATTTTTGGATAGTATGGGTTGTTAAGACCGAGCAAGTTTAACTGGGTTGTTAAGACCGAGCAAGTTTAACTTGAACCTGAATTTGAATTGGGCCCAAGCCCAATAACAGACTGTCCGGAAATTTTGATGAAATAAAAGGGAATTCTACGATATAAACTAATTATCCTAAATTAATTTATTATTATCATTATTTATTGTACTATTAGAAAGTAAATTGAAGTGATGTTTTATGATCCAACTAAATAATTAGATAAATTAAACCGGACCTAAAAATCAATTAACTATGTCGAAACCACACGAATAATCGAAAAATCGAGCGAAAAACTCAAAAACCAAAGAACCGGCACCGGCCATTTCCTTTCTTTCTTTCTTTTTTTCTTTTCTTTTCTTCCTTCTCCTTTCAGTAGCGTGACCACCTCCTCCTCCTCCTCGTCCCTCTTCTTCGATCTCCTTCCTCCGGCCACCAAATTCGGCAAATGAATACTCTAAAAACATCTACTCAACGCAAGGATGAAGATTATAGCGTAGATTTGAATTGAAATTGTGTCTATTTTGAAGGGTAAGAGTTTGAAGTTTTGGACACCCTTTTTCCGGCGATTCACGCCGTTTCAGGCAAGCCTAGGGCTCAAGGTGAGTACCAAATGACTCCTCTCTTCTTCTTCTTTCATTTGATGGCCTCCTCGTCGACTGTAATGGCCGGAATCGGAAAACCCAAAATGGGTATCACCGAACCTTTCCGATCAATTTCCGGCCAAATAGCCAATGGGTATGTTCTAAGATTAAATTCTTAATTTTTATATATATAAAGAATTAATTGACTAATGAATTTAATCGAGTTATTAAATAGACTAAATTGAATAACAAGATATTAACTTATTGAATTAACTAAAACAAGACATTAACTTATTGGATTAACTTAAAAATATATGAACATTTATGGTCTTTTGTAAATAAATTAGATTGATTAGTGTGCGTATTTGGATAGCGAACATAATTTGTTAACTGGTTTAGGACTTTAGAATAATGTAATTGTAAATTAGTTTAGAACATTGTCAAATAAATTACATGATTAATATTATGATTAGGTGATTTGAGGAGAAAGAATAAATTAGAATTAGTTAATTAGTCAATTAGATAACCATTAGATTAAAACTAGCCGATTGTGCATAAGAGAAATAAGGCGAATTTTAGTTGGTTAACGACTAGAATCGAAATTCGATAAATTAAGATTTGGGAGGCCTAGCCATTTTCGATATTGATATAAAAAAATTGAATTTTTATAGGTAGTAGTTATAATTAGTTATGGTTAAAATATGTTTTAGCTGTTTAACAAATTAGTTACCGTAAAGCTAATAATTTAATTAATTAATGACTTAATAAATGATCTCATATGGATATTATTAGAATTAGTTTGTAAATTGAGTGTTGATATTATTGTTTTTGGAAGGAGGATGAGATTTTAAATTGATTGATTGCCCGACGGATGGGCTGTGTGCACTGATTGATAAAGATATGATAATATTGTGATATAGGGTTCAGATAGTCC